CAGAGGTTCTACTACAGTTTGGTCATGGAATCTGCATTTTATAAGTGAAGTCCAGTGGGGCAGAAGAGCATGTGCCAGGGGCTTGGAGTCTTGGCACAGACACAGTTCCACTACTTCCGTTAAATGGGTTCTTGGCCCCCCAATCCCTGCCCCCTGGATACCAATACTCACCAAATCCCCCTCTCCCATCCACCTAGGGACTGCTTCTGCCTCAGCCCACAGCAGGGGCCTGGGTGCAAGTGTGGGGACTAGGGAGTTAAGTTTGTACCCCCGGAGATGTCTCAGGGTAGACATGGAGGCAGCCGCTTCAGTGGGTTCGGCAGGCTACTCAGCAGGGGTGAGCCTCTTGCCCACTTGTGATCTGGGCACAAAGGTTGCAGTGACTTGAAGGTAACCTATCACCCATGGTTTGGGGCAGTGAGCTACGGACAGGATAGATGCCTGCCTCAACTTCTCTTTGTACTCCCATCTGGGACACAGCTTACCAGCTAGTGTTTGGGAAAAAAGGAAAACTTGGCAGTTGGCAGGTCAGGTGTACAGTAAGTCACAGGGAGGGTCCCCCAGGCAGGAAGGTCTGCACTTGTCCCATGAGTATTCCCATGTCTGAGTGAGTGCAACATGACATAGTGGATAAAAAAAACACCTGACAGGTAGTGAAAGACGGAGCAAGGAAAGAAAAAGATTTATATTTTTATATTTTTAACAGCACTTTTTTGGTTCTTTTTGAACAAGGGGTCCCACATTTTCACTGTGTACTGGGCCTCACAAACTCTGTAGCCAGTCTAGTACACAGTAGACTTTAAGGGGTGTAGAGGATCCATCTCTTATACTTGAAGGATTATAATCACACCCTTCTACAAAGGGTTACTGGAAACGTGGTTGAAGCCAGGATGCTGGAGAGTCAAACACATCCAGACACTTTTGTTACCATTCTCCACCTCCTGGTCTCCTATCCCATCAACTGACCAGTTATATTTTTATATCACAGGTAAGACTAGAAAAGTACAAAAGATATAAAGAAAAACAGTCTAACTTTCACTATATTCACATTTAAGACATAAGGCTTATATTTTAATTATGTAAAAACCATTAAAGGCCTTAGAAACTAAGAGAATATGATCATTAAAATTAGCCAGAACCAACCAGTCTTCAGAGCACCAAGCCAGGCTATAAAATCTTTTTATCATTTTTACAGAAAAATTTTCTCCAGTGACCATAATAAACAAATGCCAGGGAAACAAAATGTCTACTGCAGGATTTCTAAAGGGAGGCATAAAATTGGGGGAAAAACTCATTTATTATTCATTTAGATTATTATACATTTAACACATTTAGAGTCGTTCACAAAGAAAATGCAAATGCGTTGCAATCCTTTTTAAATGAAACCTTCTAATTCCCCATCTGCTTTTTGAAAAGGGAAAAAGGTGGTTCACTAGTACATTGATATGCTAAGTGAAAATGTAAGTTTTTTCTCAATATTTTCTTCCTTTAAATACCATAGGATATGTGTCCCTTGAAATTAGAACCTGGCAGTCATAAATTAACCCATATAGAGGTGAAGGACCTCTATAAAGAAAATTATGAAACCTTAAGAAAGGAAATAGCTGAGGACTTTAACAAATGGAAGAACATACCATGCTCATGGGTGGGAAGAATCAACATTTTAAAATGTCTGTACTTCCCAGAGCAATTTACCAATTCAACGCCATCCCTATTAAAATACCAACATCCTATTTTCAAGACTTGGAAAAATGATTCTGCATTTTGTATGGAACCAGAAAAAAAACCGTATAGCGAAGGCAGTTCTTAGTAATAAAAACAAAGCTGAGGGCATCACCATACCAGATTTTAGGCTGTACTACAAGGCCATAGTGGTCAAGACAGCATGGTACTGGCACAAAAATACAGACATAGACATTTGGAATTGAACAGAAAACTGGAAATGAAAACCAGCAACTTACAGCCACCTAATCTTCGATAAACCCAACAAAAACATCCACTGGGGGAAAAACTCCCTGTTCAATAAATGGTGCTGAGAGAACTGGACACCGACATGTGAAAGACTGAAACTGGACCCGCACCTTTCTCCACTCACCAAAACTGATGGATTCAAGATGGATAATGGACTTAAATTTAAGGCACGAAATGATAAAAATCCTCAAAGAAAGAATAGGAAAAACACTGGAAGATATCAGCCTGGGGAAAGACTTTATGAAGAAAGACTTTATGAAGAAGACTGCCATGGCAATAGCAACAACAACAACAATAAACAAATGGGATTTAATTAAATTGAAAAGCTTCTGTACAGCCAAGGAGACAACAGCCAAAAGCAAATAGACAACTTACCCAATGGAAAAGGATATTTGCATATTTTGAATCAGACAAAAGTTTAATAACTAGGATCTACACAGAACTTCAATTAATCTACAAGGAAAAAACTAACCATCCCATACATCAATGGGGAAGAGAGCTGAACAGAATCTTCTCTAAAGAAGATAGACAAATGGCTAGCAAATACATGAAAAAATGCTCATCATCCCTAATTATTAGAGAAATGCAAATTAAAACCATCCTGAGATATCATCTAACCCTAGTGAGAATGGTCTATATCACAAAATCTCAAAACTGCAGATGCTGGCTCAGATATGGAGAGAAAGGGACACTTTACACTGCTGGTGGGACTGCAAACTAGTTCAACCTTTTTGGAAGGAAGTATGGAGAAACCTCAAAGAACTCAACTTAGACCTCCCATTT